AGTCTGGTTATATTTACATTTTTTTATATAAAGCAGTATGGTATGCCTTGCAAAAATATAGTTTCAATAAATTTCAGCCCTAAAAACTTAAATCAGAAACTTTCCTGTTTCTTTCTGAGGTTTAATGCAACATATTTAATTAGATTGCTTTCAAAACTTGAGGGGAAGAGAAATATATACGGAATTTTTACTTTGTTTACTACGGAAGCGTATTTACGTAAGCCTATACGCTTCCGTAGTTTACCAATAGGAATGTGAAAACTGTGAAATATGTTTATATTGTGGCCGGTTTTAATCAGATAAACACTTAATGTGGAGGGCATTTAGTTCCATTTTTGTTGCAGAGCATTTTGTAAATCAAAATCCTCTAAAAAAAAAAAAATGTATAGAAAAACATTTGAAAAAACAAAATCTGAGAAAACAGCAAAGTTACTCTCAATAACCTTTTCTGGATTGCTTTTTTGTTGAAATGTGAAAAGAAAAAAAAAACAAGAATATATTTTCCTTAATAATAAATAAATTAACATAGCAGATTCTTTTTATCCTTTTTTAAGCTTCATTAGAGACCCCCTATAAATGCTTCAACTTCTCTGAAAAAAATATTTTGTTTTAAGTATATAAACATTGATACAATATTTATTGGTGTCTGTTGTTTTTTTTTTTGTTTTTTTTTTTTGTTTTCAGACTAAAAAACAAACTTCCTGAATGCATGACCCTGAACCCGAGAAAACGTGTTCACCTTTTACATGCAGTCAGAGCTGGGATGCATTTTAATTTGTTAGAAAGGCCCAAGCTGCCTAGACATAAATAACATTGAGATTTTAGGTTGGAAACTGTTCACAGATGCTCTCTTACTGGCAGGACTGATATTTTGCATAGAAAAATATGAGCTATTTTCAGTTTCTATATGTGCAAAGCAGGTGAAACCTCACAACACTTGCAGATGTGACTAATGCTATAGATTTACTCATGGGAGCTGGATACAGACGTGTACTTTTTCACTGAAAGAGGAAATTTCAAATGAAAAAATCTAATATAAAACATATATCACATCTGAAATAGACATGTGGTAAAGATGTGAATCATATGGAAAGCAAATCCATACGTGTGAGTTTGGAACATTTCATGTAAACGTGAATCACAGTTTTGGCTACATGTTGGAATCACATGTGAAAATGTGTATTACAGGTGATTGACATGGATGTGACACACTTTTATTTATTTAATCAGGACAGAGCGCATTAATGAACAATCTTATACTTCTGTACAGATTGTAAATGAGCCAGATTATAGCATAGTTGCTAATTTACATCTGTCATCCTTGTGCTTCAAATTTAACCCTTTATGGGGCACTTGGTGAAAAACCTTGAAAATCAAAAGCCAATAGTGTTATTACAATCCAGGACAAGACCTTTTTACCTTTGTAACATTCAAAAAATATGGATATTTAGATGGAAAATTGCCCGACAATATTAAGAAAAATAACAGAAGTGCTTCTATAAGAAATTCATGGAAAACACTCTGAGAGTGAATTAAACACAATTTTTGGTACAACATAACCAAAGACGCATTAATACTTATACTGGCACTTACATTTATTAGTTTATAAACCTAAATATATTTTTTAACTAGGCTTATTAACTTTTTAACTTTTCAGTTAGCTTTTTACCTTTTTTCTTTTTTTCCCCCCAACTTAATTTACAGTAGGCAATATATCATTCAAGGGCTCATCTAATTGGTCAGCCATGTAGCAGGATCTTTGCTGAGTGGCTGGATAGGGCTCTTGTTCTTCTAGATCTTACTGAGGGATTTTGGGACATTTGCATACCCCTTACACATCATTTGTAAGGGGTATGCAAGTGATCAAAAATGGTAACTTGCCCTATAAAGGGTTAAAGTACATGTCCAGTAATTGGGAAAACAACAGAGGGTGTGGTCCAACTAAAGGGGAATCACACTCCTAAACCTCCCTGGTAAGGGCTAAGCCAGGGTCAACGGTTCATAGGAGTTTGCCCCACAGGTCTACATGGGTCTACATGGACCTGGTGAAGTTATTGAACGGGGTCCCTAGTGTTCTCCTGTGGTGGGGCATACTAAGTCATCGCTCCAGTTCAGCACCTTTATGGACAGTGTCAGGTTTATTCAATGATGATTATAAAATTAATGTGTGCTTATGAATCATTTGTGCAAGGGGGATGCTGCACTGTGTCTTGTGATTCAGTCAGGAGACCATCCTGCCTTGTCATTCTGATGGAGCATCTTGTCTTTATGAACTGATCAATTGTTCTGTCAGAACAAATACTGTTTTGTAACCATGTGTGATGTTCTGTTAATAAAAGACAGCTGCAGGAGGGGATTTGGAGAAGGAAAGCTTGAAGTTGGGTAGGGCTTTTCCTTCAGTTCCTGCAGAAGCTGCTTGAAGCTCTTTCCTGTGCAGACTCAATTTCTATTTATTTGCAAATCTACATTTACTGAATAATAATAATAATAATAATGAATTTTATTTATCATGCACTTTACATTTGATTTCAAATCTCAAAGTGCTACAAAACAAGAATCCAACAGACAGCATGCAGCCAGGGGCTGGAGGGGGTTTGATCCGCTGTTCTGTCAGTTGAGCATACCCTGTCAGACCAGCATATCCATAATCGATACCCGTTTATCCCTTTAGTTTATCCCCATTTATCGCTTTAGTTTTGTATGAAAAATAGACTTTAAACTACTTCAACAGACATGTATCCCTTTAGTCATGTACAAAAAAATGATTTAATTACTTATTTTTTGAAAGATATGGTGATCTGACCTTAAATAGTTTTCTTGTACATGACTAAAGGGAATCAAGCCCATCTACGTAGTTTAAAGTATATTTTTTGTACAAAACTAAATGGATAAACGCAAATCTGATGTCTTGCGCAACAACTATAGGTATGATGCTCTGATGGGGTATGCTGATCTGACAGAACACCAGGGCCCAGCGCATCCCATCCCTTCTTTGTACATGGCTTCCTCCTGCCAAGACCTACGGCATGCTCTGGGGCAGGTCGCCTAGTGTGATGCGGCCGGGGTGAGAATCTCATCCTCCAAGTTTGAAGCCATGGTTCTGTACCAGAAAAAAAGTTAGTTTGTCCCCTTTAGGTTGGAGGAGTGCTCCTGTCTCAAATTGAGGAGTTCAAGTTCTGTATCTTGGAGTCCTGTTCACAAGTGATGGGAGAATGGATCAGTAGATAGAGAGATAGAGAGAGATTGTGGCTGTTGCTGTAATGCAGAGGTTGTATCTGTCTGTTATGGTGTAGAGAGATCTGAGCAAAAGCTCCCGATTTACCAGTCAGTCTAAGTTCCTACCCTCATTAATGGTTATGAAGTCTTGATCATGAACAAAAGTCTGGATACAAGCGGCTGAAAGGAGATTTCTCCTCAGGATGTCTGGACACTCCTTTAGAGAAAGGTTGAGGAGCTCTGTCATCCAGGCGAGGCTAAGAGTAGAGACATTTCTACTCCATATCCAGAGGAGTCAGCTGAGCTGGCTTGGACATTCAAATCATTTCAGTTCAGTTTATTTATATAGCGCCAATTCACAACACATGCTATCTCAAGGCACTTTCCAGCTCACCAGATCATCCAGTCAAATTGATTCAGTTTTCTATCTGAGGAAAACCAGTTGATTGCATCGACTCATTGACTCTTCAGCAATCCCTCACACTAAGCATGCTTGTAGCGACAGTGGAGAGGAAAAACTCCCTTTTAACAGGAAGAAACCTCCAGCAGAACCAGGCTCAGTGTGAGCGGCCATCTGCCGAGGCCGACTGGGGTTCAAGGAGACAGAAGCAGACATAGAAAAAGAAGCATAGATACAAAAGGCAACTGTAAAAGGCGGCCCCGTCCAGGAAACACACAGCCAGGCAGACGAGCTCCGAGCCAGCTCCCATGTCAGAGGATGAACAGAGCACATCCAGTTAGTCACAGTCAGAGAAACAGGACTACACTGGAAAACAGGCCGATCTCCAACATCTATAAACCAAGGTGTTGATAGGGGCAGCAAAGCGGATTTGCTGACATCTTTTTCTAATGCCCTCTGGATGCCTTCCTTGGGATGGCCCAAGAAATACTGGAGGAACTATAGTATATTTCTCAGTTCGCCCTTGAATGCCTCTGTCTTCTCTAGCAGAGCTAGAAGGGATGACTGGGGAAAGGGAGGTCTGGGAGTCTCTGCTGAGACTCCAACCCACGACCGTTTAAAGGGGAACATGTCAATCACACGGCCTTTTAACTTGAAATGTTTCACATCTGATGTTCACATCTGGTTGAAAATATATGGGAATTACACGTGTAACACATCTGATCTGATCTTGATTTTCAAATGTGAAATTAAAATATTTCTCTGCAAGGGTATAAATCCAACTGGTTAACTGATTGACATTGCTGATTGCTGTCTGTGCATATTTTGTAAAATTATTCCATTATGGACATGTTTAAAAATGTATACTCAAACAACATCATAAGAAAAAAAATACATAACATAGAGAGACAGAAAGTGAATAATGCTAAAACAGTATCACACAGCACCATCTAAGGATATTCACATGGGAAAAAAACAACTATTAATATGTGGTGCTCATGTAAGAAAAATGCATGACACGTTTCACATGTGTTCAGATGTTGAATCGCACATGGAATACAATAACAACATGCTCGATCATATATGAAAAATGTAAACCACATGTGGAAGATGGCAATAACATCGGAAATTATGGGATTTTTTTGGAATTTGAGGAACCATATAATCTTTCTTCTGTTGAAAAATTAGGTACTCCTAATTGTTCATCCGCTCCAGCTAAACCTAATTAAACTTAAACCAGAAATCTTTTTGTAGAAGTAGTATGACGGCCGTATTTCCAGGTGGCTTCTATCAGCCTTCTGTAAAACGTCCTGCCTTTTGTTCTCCATTAATAAGTGCTTCTTTTTCTTTCCTATTTTGTCCAACCACCACCTGCTTCAAAAAGTTGGTAAGTGCAAAGGTGGCAAAGAGTGGCAGATGATGTCTTCTCCTCTTTCCACATAGTCTTGTTACAGCATCACTCTCCCCTGACTTTGCTTGCAGTTAATAAGATCCTAATTTCCTTGGTGTGTTTCCTGCTCGAGCTTGCATCAGTGTCGACATCCCTATCCCTAGACTTTTCCCCCCTCAGAGTGCCCTCATGCCCCTCATCTGTCTCCTGCTAACCTCCTACGTGACATCCTTTTGTTAAAACACATTTTGTCCAACCGTCAACTCTCATCTGTACCGCTCAGCCTCCAATACTCTGTCCAAGTCATCTCCTAATATGAGAACAGGCGGCCTGCAAACAGACTCAGTTCTGGATGGTGGCACTTAAAAAAAAAGGTTCCGCGGTGGGACAAAACAACACTGCCAAGTCCTTCTGGCACACAGTAGTCTCTGACGGGAGGAAGCCAGGAGATGAAAGTAGCCACGTCTCCTGAGACGGGTTATCACACTGTCTCAGGTTCTCTAAGGGGTGGGGGGGTGGCATTGAGGATGCCCTCGCTAAACCAAGACGGGAGAAAAAAGATCAAAATCGAAGAAATTGTGAATAAAACATGAGCAGAGTAAAAATGTTGTGTCAAGCAAAAAGAGAAATTGCAAGAGCGGAAGATAATGGATTTTTAAAGCCCTTTTCAGTAAATAAAGATAAGGTTTCAAAACTGTATAGAATTATCAATATTTTTAAACAACACCTAGACAAGTTAGTAATTGTGCCTGTAGATTGGCTCTCCCAATTTACATTTTGTTATTTGAGTTTATAAGTGGTGTTTGTTCCTCACATCTCAGTTTTTAAGGTCATAATAATATGTAATGTTATCTCTAGTAGTCCAATACAAGCATGACTCCTGCTGAGTAGATCAATTTCTGCCTACCACGAAAAGAAACTGGGGCAAGAAGAGGCAAGGTTAGAACATAGGACTCAGAATTCAGACGAGACAGACAGAGATATTTTCAAAAGAACATTTATTAACATAAGGTGCGGCTGCTCGTCTGCTGCGGCGGACTCACTGGACATTCTGCAGGAATAGAGGCTCAGGTCAGTGACTTCAAAACTCAAACGATGGATAATAATGAGCATGAAAGCCTCCAACCTGGCAAAGTTCAGTCTGTGCCCAGAAGAAGGAGTGTCGTCCAGAGAAGCGGAACTCCGTTGCTTTTTACTGAGCTGGCACAAAAGATCCAGGACAGAAGAGAAACAGCGTCCTTCAGCAGTCAGAAGATGTTGTCAGAACACAGGTCATGGGTCAGCACCAGGTGGAATCCAGGGAACAGTCCAGAGAGAGCAGAAAAGGCAAACATAGCAAACAGGGGCGGTCAAGAAACGAAAATGTCCGTAGGCCAATAACAGATCAGGAACCGGCAGAACTAAAAAAAGGGAACACTAGAGTTAGTCTCGCTGGGAAGCTTGAATAATTTGGCACCAAAGGCTGGTGCCAGACGCTTAAATAGCACCAGGAACTGCTGGATGTGATGAGCGCTAATGAGCAATGAGCAGAGTAGAGCAAAAAGAGAAAAAAAAAAAGTTATTCAAAATGTGCCACAATCATTACAGGATGGTCCTGATTGGTTGCCAGGGCTCCCCAATTTTGAGACGCCTAAAGAGTTCTGCCACACCCTGAGGGGAGTGTGACATGAGGAAAATAATAATAATAATAATATTTGATCTCACATTTGAGAAATGTACCTCTGCATTTAAACCACTCCCTTGGGGAGCAGTGGGCTATCATCGTTGGGCGTTTTTTTAACAACTGACCACATCTGGGGGTTTTGCATCTGAAGCAGATTCATTTCTCCTACTAATGGGGTCTATGCATAGCTCCACTACTTCCTGAACTTGATCCAGCTCCTTTGTTTCCTGTCTTTGATTACTGGACAAGCCGATTAATCCAGGTGTGTCTGCCTGGTTACTGAGTTCAGATTAGTCAGAACACTTAGATTTAAAAAGTAAAAATAAGATTTATGTTTCACAAACTTATTAAAAGTTGATTTCTAGATGGGATACTGGGGTTATCTGGTATAATCTCATCATACATACTATTATCATTATCTCTTCCATTCTTTTCATGTTTCTTCACGTTCTCCCTGAGCATGCGTGGGTTCTCTCCGGGTACTCCTGCTTCCTCCCACAGTCCAAACACATGTCTGTTAGATTAATTGGCTTCTCTAAATTCTCCCTAGGTATGAGTGTGTGCGTAAATGGTTGTTTGTCCTGTTTGTCTCTGTGTTGTCCTGCGAGGGACTGCAGACCTGTCCAGGGTGTAACCCCGCCTCTCACCCATTGAGAGCTGGAGATAGACACCAGCACCCCTCACAACCCCAGCTAGGATGAAGCGTGACAGAAAATGGAACGATTATTATTGTTGTTTTTATTATATATGAAATACTAAAAATGCTAATTACGAAAATATTTGGGCCTTCAAGCAAAAACAACGTAATAAATTAACATTAAACAGGTTATCTCTTCCTCCATCATTGCTATGCAGATCTTGTCTGGTTTAATTTTCTTGTTACTGCCTCAAACTGAGAGGTAGAAATGCACACCTAATAACTCACAACCTGAAAATACAAACTAATCAGTTCTTAAGCATCTTTAGACAAACACTTGGACAATCACCATACAAGATTAGCGCCTTACAAGGAGTTTTCAATCATTCTGTTGCATTTTGTCTGAGTGTCTTTGACTCATGCTAGCTGCAACCTGTGGTCTTGTCTTACTTTTTGTTGATTATCTTGGTTTATGTTTCAGTTTTCATTTTCACACACAGTAAACCGCAACATATTGAAGACCTTTTTTTAACCTGGGTACAAAAAAATCATTTAGCACAAATATCAGCCCAAATAAAATGAATTAGAAATAGTTCCCATAACACAGGGCAGCTACCATCAGTTGTGTCCGGTTGTGACAACGAACTTCTGCTGCTTCTCTTTCTTCTGCTTTAAAGTGGTGTGCTCTGTTCCTTATCTTTATGTTAATAGTGGCGCAACCAGCTCTTTCTAATGTAATAACAGTCTACGCTGTTATTGATAAACATGGTTAAATCAGAGACATTACCGAGGACAGCAGCTTTAGCCACGGACAGGTGATCCAAAACGAGAATTGTCCCCAGAAGTTTGAGCCATCTGGTCTTCGTATTCTGCCATGACATTAAAAAATCTCCACTGTTAGTTCTGTCTTCTGACCTCCTTCCTCTATTTCTCATATATTTGTAAAACCTTTTTGTGACTCTCTGCCATTTTCAAAGTATATGGTGAACAGAATGAACTGAATGAAGTAACAACAAATGACTAAAACCGAAGCTAACTAGATACACAAACACGACTAATACACATGATTGGAAAGACAATAATTATTGGTGTTAGGTGAGCAGATTACAAAGATTGCCATGTGGTTCAACGAATAGATAAGATGATCCCCACAGAACCCAAAGCTTAGACATTGTGTTTTTTTTTTTTGGTTATTACAGTGAGATAAGTGTAAAATGACCCAGAACTGTCTCTTTTGTTTTTGTCTACCCCTCAATGCATATTGTTCTCTGCCTCCCCACCCTTCTGAATATTGTCCATCTCCACCACGGGAATGATAGAAAGACATACACTTGGCTAGCAGAAATGTTATGCTTTGCCCTGCATAAATGCCAGGAATGAGGGCCGCGCCATTAAATATAGCCCCAGATATGAGGGGTATACAGTATGAAAAAAACTCACTACTCAGTGGTGCAGCGCTGTCTCGCAGCAAGAAGGTTCTTCCATTCCTGGCCCGGGGTCTTTCTGCATGAAGGCTGCATGTTCTCCCTTAGCATGCGTGGGTTCTCTCTGGGTACTCTGGTTTCCTTCCACAGTCCAAAAACATGACTGTTAGGTTAAATGGCATCTCTAAATTGTCCTTAGGTGTGAGTGTGTGAGTGTGTGTATGAATGGTTGTTTGTCCTATTTGTCTCTGCGTTGTCCTGTGATGGACTGGCGACCTGTCCAGCTTGTACCCTGCCTCTTACCCGTAGACAGCTGGAGATAGGCACCAGCAGGAAAGGAAAGGAAAAGGAAGGAAATTGGATGGATGAAAAAAAAAAAAAGGTTTTGTCAAATATTGAGATATTTTATCAGATATTTTCATTGATTCAAATTACTAATATCACAATATTTCATGAGATACGAGCCACTAAAAGGCAGTGCACTCATTAGGAGCCTTTTAGTCAGCTGTTCTGGACCAGCTGCATTAGAGCAATGACATCTCTAGAGGTTTTTCAGAGATAAAATATTATAAAAATTGCTATATATTATCTTTGTTAATGTATCAGGATATATCATGATAAATCATATCGTGATACTAATGGTGTTGCCGAATTCTTCCAAATTCCCACCCCTTCTGGATATCATTTAGGACTTAACAATTTTCCTTTCATCTTTCTCTTTATTTAAACATGAATCACTTACTGAGATAAAAATAGTAAAAATGAGAAGGGTCCTGGCTTCCACAGCAGCAAAGAAAGATTTAACACATTGAAAAGGCTTTAAACTTCTCAGCACTGGAGCAAGTGTATTGCTTGTAATGCTTTTTGTAGACACTGAGTATTTTATTGCTGTTTTGTTCATAAAACTTTGAAAGCTTAGCCTTTTTTATGTAGAAGCAAGCCCTAATAAGGTCTGCAGTTAATGTTTCTAAACTCTTGCATAAAATCTGACAGATCATTGCCGCAGAAAAGGCGACATCCGACACACTGATCTGCGTTTAGCTCAGAAAAAACCTGGCGAGGCTGAACATAACTTGTCACTGTAGTCATCTGAGAGGTTGAATGAGAGATCATAGGTTTAGTCGGTTTTCCTTGAATCCATCAAAAAGCGACACAAGCTTGTGATGTCATCCTCATATGCACTATGTCAAAGCTTTTTTTTTATAGTGCAAAGAAAATGAGTTCAATCTCCTGTCATTGTCAGCAGCTTTGTGTTGTTAAAACTGTATTGCTT